GATTTTGCAACGTATTGAGTCAGGAGCGATCCGTGTTTGGGGTAAAGTGGGTGAAGTGGCACCGCCCCACTTCGTCCTTCCCATGACGATCGAACCACAAAAGCCGAGGTTATGCATTGATGCCAGGTTTTTAAACTTGTGGAGGGTCGACACCCCCTTTTCGCTGGGGTCGCGTGTTCCCTGTATATTGATGACCGTTTGAATGGGGAACTGTTGGCTTCGAAGGGTTTTGGTCACGCCCACTGTTGCAGAGGACGCCGGAATACAGCTATCAATCTGCGGAGGCGGCTTTGTACATAGTTTGTTCAGTTCTTGTAACCTTATTTATTTTCTGGGCCTCTTCAAATGCGTTCTTGTTCCTGTAACCAGGATCCGTTATTTAGGTATGATAGTGGATTCTATGGTGCAGGCTTTTTGCATTCCTGAAGATAAGAAGATAAAGTTTGCTCAGCTACGCGAGCAAATACTTCTGCGTGAAACTACTATCACCTTGAAGTCTTAACAGAGGTTAATGGGGAAATGCTGTTTGTGATGGTAACCGCGTTAACGCCTACGTTTTCCCACCATTTTCACTGATTGGCCTCTTTTGCGTTTCCTCGCTTCAGTGAATGCAGTTGTTACGGTAGTAGTACCATTGATGTCCCCCTTACCCGGGTGGTGGCCGTTATTAAATGCTTTGTCCAGCCATAGTGTTTTGGTGGCCAAGATGGGATCACCGGATACCCTCCTCTTCCCTCCAAAGGATGGTTTTATACCTGGCTCCTCTCCGTATAGCCTCTTGGCATTTAGGATTGGAAAAAACATGTCGTCAACAACCTAACAGGAGAAACCTTCTCTCTTTGCAGTCTTTGCCGTTGGTACCCAGACTTTTCCAGCCATCTGTTTCGTGTCCGGTTTGTTCCAAACCCAATGATTTTGATTTTCGCTATTGTCAGAGATATGGTTATCAGCGCCAGACAAGGTCACTTCAAACTTTGAAGAGTCTCAAGGCCCCTATCGACCTGTGTTCGATAAGTGAGCGAAGGAAAACTTTGGTTGCTAGGCAACAGGCTACCCCTTATCAAAAACAAAGAAGTGCTTTAGAGATGGAGTTTTCACAGTTCTTAGAATCCACCTCGAAGAGGGACATTTACTCGGCAATACCTGACGATGTGATTGACTTCTTGATCTGGAAGGACAATTTTGGCAAGACGGTGGTACATATTGATACCTGCCCCTTGTTTGGTGAGAAGAGTGTTTCTTCTTGTGTTTGCCCTAAGCGTTTAGCATACGGCTCCGTTGACTCGATTATTGGCAAATTGAGAGCTATATTTAACAAGTATGGCAGATCCGCAACTGATAGTCTCTTCCCTGGGATCGCCAACCCCGCAGCTTCACCACTGGTTAAGGCCTATTTATCGGCTGTCAGAGAGGAACATCTCGTTGTAAGAGTCATGCAGAGATTGTCTGAACCATTCTTTCTTCAGGATTTGGTGTTTTTATCTGCAGAAATTGCTAAGCGCATGAACGTACTCGTTCGTTCTTCGGCACAGCTATTTGTTCTGGCAAGAGATCAAGCCTTTTTTAAGGTACAATTCTTTGGTGGCGATAGCGCCGGTGATCTCGGTCGAATGAAAACAAAGGAGATTCTTTATTTTCCGGAAAAAAAGGCTCTACCCTTTAACCATACACTCACTAAGTCTTTGCGAGACGGCACTTCAAACGTTTTTGCTCTCAAGCGTCATGCGGACTCTTCTGTTTGCCCAGTGACTGCAGTTGAGGTTTACATTAGCTTATGCAACCTATTGAAGATCTCTATCCGACAAGAATTTTTGTTTAGGCCCCTCAACCCATCTGGAGAAATTTTGCCAGCACCTTTTGAGTCGGCCGCGGCTCAGGCGCGGCTCTCGACGTATGTTCGCCAAATCCCGGCGTTTGCTAAGCGGAACGTTACTTAACATGGTCTAAGGAGTGGATGTGCAATTTCGCTAGCCATTGCCGGAGCGATGCTTGATGCGATCATGGATCACGTGGGCTGGAAGTCCTCAAAGTCGGCACGTCATGGCCTTGGTGGGGCGGCGGACATCTTGGAAGTGGATTTAGCGAAAGCTTACAAGCAGTGTAACAACCTGCATGGCTTTACTATAGCATTCTAAACATTTGGTCTTCTCTTGTTTTTCATGTTTTGTGGAAATAAATATTGCGAATGTTTCAGGATGTAAAACTTGTATGGTTTTCCCAAAGCATTCTGTGACTTGGTTTTCTTGTTTTCGATAAAGGTAGATTTTAGCGAATGTTTACAAGAAGTTTCGTTGGCTTGCATAGTTTTTCATGGTTTTCATAGGTTCGTTTGGTCTTGTCTTGTTCATTTTGCTTTTGTGGAATAAATTTTGGAAATGCGTTCAAGGTTTGAAATAATTTGGCGTGGTTTTCTCTATAGCATTTAGGACAGTCATGTTGAAATACTAGTGAGGGTTGAGAAATTAGTTTGGTTAAGGATGGGGGCTTATTATTGGTATGATTGTTTGGATTAGCCAGCGAATTCCACGGCGATTGCTGGGCGCAGTCTGGGGTGACTTTCCCATAACTAAATGCTAACGAGTATGCAAGAAGGATAATGAACTATTCATACTTTATTAATATTTATTAGCCCTCGTACATAGTATATAAGTATGCCTTAATTATTCATAGTTCTCAGTTTTGCCCAACTTTGGTTGGAATCGTCCCACCCACCCGCCCCTTAGGGCTTACTCTATTAGCACCTTTCATGTTTTCCCCAGCGAGCTTGCTCGTCTGGGGTGACTTTCCTATAACTAAATGCTAACGAGCATGCAAGAAAGATAATGAACTATAGTGCGAACGACTCTGCGCTTTCTTTTTAATGCGATACTTGATGCAACGACAATTTCGAAGGTGGCGGTTACCCTGGGGGTTACTCCCAGAAACATTGGGTGGGGG